CAAAAGACATCTTAAAGTTTTAAATTAAATATTATTTGAAGGTTTCAAATGACCAAAATAGATAAAAGAGAACAACTTTAAGAATATTAAATATTTACAATGAAGTTCCATTAAAATCTAGAAGAGTAAACTATCCTCCTTTAAACACATGAACTCTCCATTTACTCAATGTAATAATTGATTGTCACTAATATTTAAACATGTAATTAACTAAATATTTATAATATTTAAATCTAGTGTAGGGGCAAAATGATATTTCAACTTTCAATTTTTTTGTTCCCACTTTTAGTAATACATTATAATCATATTTCATATTTTATCCTACCTTTTCATAGTAGCTCAACCCCATACCCTACTTTTCTTGTATGTTTATCATTCAAATTATAGATTATTAATATTATGTAATGATGAAGAACGATACAATCTATTCAAACACTATATTCATTAAAACAATATAGTAGACTACAATACATTATGAAACAATACGTGACAACCATCCAAACAAAAAAGTGTTAATTACCAAACGATCCAGTGTGCTACTCAACTTTGAGCTTGAGTAGTAGCTCACGGACATCATAGATGGATGATAAAAGGCATCCTCTTCTAACGCTCTTGCTTTTCTTGAGGTAACTGACAATAAACAAGAATAATTTTCAGTTTTTCCATAAAGAGAAGTCCAAAGGAAATTACTAGTGGGGATAAAAGGAGACAAATAAATGCTTAGTTCATCAGTGGGGAGCATACATCTATGAATTCATAGAAACTAAATTATGGGGAATAGTGGAAGAATATTCAGCAACTTTGGGGAAAAAGATGGGTTGGAGGGGTATGGAATGGACTCCATTGGTAGAAGTGGTGTAATCATTGTATTATGGGACAAGAGGGAATGGAAAGGGGAGCTCATCGACAGTGGCAGTCAGATGCTCACTTGTAAACTATCTGGGATCATCCAAGACTTGACTTGGTATCTTACTGTTGTATATTCAGAGTGTGACAGAAAAGAAAGAGAAGAATTGTGATGGGAGATCTCAGCTATTAAAGGAATATGTGAAGGGCCCTGGATGATTGGTGGGGACTTTAATGTATATATCCAGATTTCCCTCTGAAAGGACAAACTATAACAGAATAACCAGAGCCATGGCTGATTTCAACCAATGCATAAATGATCTTGAGTTACTGGATCCACCTCTTTCCGGAGGTGTTATACATGGAGAGGAGGTCAAAATCACAGTTGTGCCACAAGAATAGATAGATTCTTGTTCTTGTCCTAATGGAATAAGAGTTTCTCCAAAATCAGCCAAAGTGTACTCCCACAACTTGGCTCGGACCATAACTCCATCCTGCTATCCTATGGTGATTGGAAAGACAGAAAATTATATTTCAAATTTGATAATTGGTGGCTTAAGGAGGAAGGATTTATAGACAAAGTGAAAGAATGGTGGAGCGGCTTTAATACCACTGGTTGACTTGATTTTTAATTGGCTAAGCTTAGTCAATTGAAAGTCAGGATCAAAGAATGGAGCAAAGCCAACAAGAACAACTGGAAGGAAAGGAAAGATCAGATTCTATCACAAGGGGAAATCTGGAATCCATTCAGGATCTCAGACTTTTGACAGATGATAAACAGTTGCAGAAAATTCAGCTGGCTATGGAGTTTGAAGAGGTGTCCAGAAATGAGGAAATTGCTGGAGGTAGAGATCCAGGGTACAATGGGTAAAAAATGGTGACAAAAACATCAAGTACTTCCACGGAATGGCCAATGCTCACAAAAGATTCAACTCCATTGACATCTTCAAAGTCGAGGGGGCTGAAGTTACTGATCCTGAAGAAATAAAAATTCCATAGTGAGCTTCTATCAGAAACTCTACATGGAGTCTGAGAATCGGAGACCTGATTTCACACTCCAAGGGAATACCAGGATCTCCACTGAAGAGCAGGTGTGGCCGGAAAGACAACTTGAAAAGGATGAAATATTAGAGGGGCTTAAACAGTGTGCCATTAATAAGGCCCCAGGCCCTGATGGATTCCCAATGTCATTCTTCATTGCTTTCTAGGAAATGTTGAAGTCAGATGTACTCATCACCCTATGGTGTTGGCCACTGGCCAGATTCAAAACGAGGACTTCCCCATGCCTTGTCACTTGGTCATCAACTCTAGGGGATAATTTATATCCACTGAAGAGCAGGTGTGGCCGGAAAGACAACTTGAAAAGGATGAAATATTAGAGGGGCTTAAACAGTGTGCCATTAATAAGGCCCCAGGCCCTGATGGATTCCCAATGTCATTCTTCATTGCTTTCTAGGAAATGTTGAAGTCAGATGTACTCATCACCCTATGGTGTTGGCCACTGGCCAGATTCAAAACGAGGACTTCCCCATGCCTTGTCACTTGGTCATCAACTCTAGGGGATAATTTATATGCAAAATATGGCCATGTGAACCCATTTTGTCTTTGTAAAATAAGGTATTTTATGTATATATATTTTAAAATTGGTGTAGTATTATATTCTGGCACCCACTCTACAAGAAAGCCAAAAGGTGCACTTAGTTGGATCAATTCCCACTTAATACATCATTTCCTTTTTTTTAGTGGTGAATGCACCCATGCTCAAGAAATTCTAGATTCGCCTCTGAATTGTCAAAGCATAAAAGGTTTTGAGGGCTAGGTATCAGTTTCCACTTAATAAATTTTTTTCTTTCAGTGGTGCACCCATGATCTAGAATCCTAGAGTCAACCCTGACCACGTGGTGATAGCTTGGACTTTCAGTGAAAAACCTCCGTAGCCATTTATTCTGTTCATTTCTTTGTTTTTAGTTTACTCCCTTTATTCCATTTTATGTGATACTTTACCTTTTAGTCTTCTCTAGAAAGATGACACATTTCTCATTTTGGAAACTATTTCTTCATAGCATCCCCATTTTACCTTAATGACATGTCTTGTTGCGATTCACTTGATGTAAAAGTTCATCTCTTCACTGCTCCAAAAGATAAATTTATATGTTACTTTTACTGTGAAGTCGATGTTTTCCTGTAAAGAAAAATCACATAAATAATGTGTTTGAGATGCTAATTTATAATATATGAATCTATTGATTTTACATACAAGATATAATTTTTAATTACAGAACACAATAAATTAATTTGGGCACATTGTCTTTTGCTGAATTGTATAAAAAAAAATACAATTTGAGAAATTCAAATTAAATGTCCAAACAAAATTTCAATTTCAAATTAATTTGATTTGAAATTATGATTCTATATCACATATCCAAATGAGCCCTTAGTGTTGTTTGATACTCCCTCCATTTCATATTAATTGAATTGTTGAGTCATTTTTCATTTTTTAAATTAACTTAATTGTTCAGTTTTTAAGACTACATTTAGAGTGTTCTTCCAATTTTACCCTTCATTAGTTAATATTGGAATTAGTGATTAATTAATATTTAGTTATTTTAATCAGAAATTTGACAGTAATTAATAAGGGTAAAAATGGAAAACTATGTTCAATTTATGTCTTAATCTACTTTTCTTAAAGGGTGTGAAACACCTCAAAAATTCAATTAATATGGAATGGAGGGAGTAATTACTATCAAATCTATGTTTTTAGATTGGTTAATTTGTAAGTGCATGTACGCAAGCGACTTTGGTTACTTTGATGTGTTCTATGAACACATTTAAGCAAATGAATTGATTCAAATTAACATAACAAATAGAGACAAATTTGAAATTTAAACTTTATGGTCAAGGATCTTAGCATTGAGCTAATTGTATTTTTAAAGTTATGAATTTAGATATCTCATTTGTTGCAATTTTAATAAATTCTTATTTATTAAGTTTTTGCTTCACATAAAAAATATTATATTCAAGATAAATTCGACGTCCTAACTCTACTTTTGGCTCTAACAGGAATGTTCCACTTTAGGGTTCAAGTGTTGTCTATCAAAAGTAATCTTATCTCAAATATTTTAAATTTAAAACGTATAATTAAAGATATAAGATACTTATCGATCACCTACCACAAAAAATGATAGCAATACTTCAAATATATGAAGTAGAAAACTAACGCAATAAAGATTTTCTTAGCAATTAGAATCGATTTGGGGAACTTCTAAAATTTACGTATTTTAAAACGTGTTTTCGAATTCTTTATATTTATAGCAGTTTGTGTTTAAGTAAAGATTTAAGTTCTTTTATTAGTATTAGAGTAGTAGTTTGCGTTTATTCAAAATTTTCCCAAAAAAAGAGAACTTGAGAAAAACAAATTTACGTAAAAAATATGTACAAATTTACATTATGATAAATTTAATCATAAGTTTTAGTTCTTTATTACTCTTAGAGATTTTAGTTAAGTAGTAAAATTATATTTAACAAAAACATTTCATCTTTTGTTTGAGATTCACTCCCATCATAGGATAAAATATGTGTTTATCAAAATATTTATTACTCCCTCTATTGCTTTTACTTGCCACTTATTTCTAAGATAGACTTTTATTTTTACTTGTCACTTTTGACCTATCAAGAAAAGACAATTATTTTTTTCCATGTTTTACCCTCGACATTAAATACTTATTCTACATATCAAAGGCCTAATACTAAACAACATTTAATAGGAATAGTTTGATAAAATACATATATCAATAATTGTTTTCTTAAGGGGTGTACCAAGTCAAACAACGACAAGTAAAAATAAACGGAGAGAGTATTATTTAATTATAATTAAATAATATATGCTTATTTTATTTTTAACTATTAAAAGTTATTTTATTTAGTGTACATCACAAATGTAAATGTAGATAAATATTGTGGTCCTATACTACGTTCAATTAAAAAAAAATATAAAAAAAAATTAAAACGAAGAAAATATAATCAATTATATGGCATGGCAGTTGGTCAAGATAAGTGATAAGTGACAGTTTATCAATCTCCAATACATTCAATTTTTATATTATAAATATAACCCAATGTTTGCATCAATTTCTTCATCCTTTAATTAATATAACTAAGCTTTGAAGAAAAAAAATGATGGGTTCCAAGGCATTTTTATTTCTTGGCATTTTTTTGGCAATCTTTTCAATGATAAGCTTTGAGGTTGTAGCTAGAGAGTTGGCTGAGACCCGTAAGATTACTTTTTCCTTTCACTATTTATTTCTTTGAAATATTGGATTTCTTATCTAATTATTTGAGATATATATATATATATGAATGTAGTGCTAATTTTTAAATTTCACATTTGATATTTGTAGCAATGAAATCGGATTATAAGAATGGTGTACACGATGATGGATATAATGACATTGACGAATATCTAGGTGATAGACGTGACGAATATAAAAATGGATATAAATTTCCTGGTGGCGGCCGATATTATCCTCCACATGGTAGTGGGTATAAACCCCCACATGGTGATTATAGCAACGCATATAAACCTCCACATGGTGAATATAACAACGGATATAAATATCCTGGGTGGGGATATAACACTCCACGTGATGGATATAATCCTCCCAGTGATGAATATAGGCCCCCACATGGTGAATATAACAATGGATATAAGTCTCCCGGTGGTGAATATAAACCTCCACATGATGATTATAACAACAGATATAAGCCTCCAAGTGGCGAATATAAGCCTTCAAGTGGCGAATATAAGCCCCCATATGGTGAATATAATGGATATAAACAACATGGTGATGAATATAAATTTCCTGGTAGTGAATATGAACCTCCACATGATGAATATAACAATGGATATAAGCCTTCAAGTGGCGAATATAAGCCCCCACATGGTGAATATAATGGATATAAACAACATGGTGATGGCTATAAATCTCTTGGTGGTGAATATGAATCTCCACATGAAGAATATAACAATGGATATAAGCCTCCAAGTGGTAGATATAAGCCTCCACATGACGGATACAACCCTTCAAGTGACAAACACAATCCCCCACATGACAAGTATAAACCCCCGTTTGGCGAATATAACCCTCCAGGTGGAGGCCATGAATAAGTCACTAGCCAATTGCCTCACAACCAATCTATCATGTAATATTACAAAATCGTTGAGCATATATAGTGGCAAGATATATAATAATAATAGTCTTGCTACTCTAAACCTTGCAATAAAAATGGTATGAATAAAACGTCATTCAGTTTATATGTATGGTTGGTCATGTAATATTTTCTTATACAATATAATACACTATATTGTGATAACATATTTTCATAATGCATGTTTTTGTTAATATGTTGTACGTTCATAATGCATGTTTTTTTTTAGTATGTTGTACGTTGTTGATGATGAACATATGTTTCTTCTTATTTCATAACTTATTATTAAACTACTCCCTCATCCCTAATTATATGATGCTTTTCGCTTTTTGAAATCTAAAGTATGTAAACCTTAAACAACTAACTTTTTAAAATATTTTTTTTTTTCATCATTTGACGTTAGAAGACCAGTAATTTATAGTACATTAATTGGACGAAAGAATATACTTCCCTTTCTCCAACCCCTCCGAATTCAGAATACAATCTACTCTAATAAGATGAAAATACAAGAAATTATAAGAGCCCTCATGTTTTTTTAGATTGTGTTGGAATTGTTGGGAAATGAAACTAATTAAACTGATAATTTGTTGTTCAATGATAATTGTGATGTATCAGACGATAATTTTTTTAAAATTTTACATCGTGATGAAAGAGAAACAAATTATGTAATGGAAGAAGAGAGAATCGTAAAGTTTGTAAAACAATCTGGGAGAAAGTGAAAGTCAAGGAAATATCATCAACAATCATGATTTCACACGTACATACTTTTTTTTAAATTGTCTTTCGTATGAGTTTTACTGCTATATTTGAAAAAAAAGGTAAACTATTGTTATATAGGTGTTATTTTATTTTTTAAATGGTATACTTGTGTTTTTTTTTTCATTTTCCCAACTAAATAAAACTACACTCTCACATATTGTCTCCCGTATTTACCTTGTTTGGATGGTTGTTATCATTGTATTGTATTTTTAATTTAAATAAAATGTTTGTTTGATGGTTACTTATCAAAATATTTATTATTTTTCTCGCTCGCTTTTACTTGTCATTTATTTCTAAGATAGACTTCCATTTTTACTCGTCACTTTTGACCTATCAAGAAAAGACAAATTTTTTTCATGTTTTACCCTCGACATAAAATACTTATTCTGCATGTCATTTTTCAAGATCTAATACTAAATATCATTCATGAATAGAGATAGTTTAGTAAAATATCTATATCTGTAATTGTTTTCTTAATGGGTGTACCAAGTCAAACAGTGACAAATAAAAATAAACGAAAATAGTATTATTTAATTATAATTAAATAATATATGCTTATTTTTTTAACTATTAAAAATTATTTTATTTAGTGTACATCACAAATGTAGATAAATATTGTGGACCTATACTACGTTCAATTAAAAAAAGAAAATATTAAAAACGGAGAAAATATAATCAATTATGTGGTGTGGCGGTTGGTCAAGATAAGTGATAAGTGACCATTTATCAATCTCTAATACATTCAATTCTTATTATAAATATAACCCAATGTTGCATCAATTTCTTCATCCTTTAATCAATACAACTAAGCTTTGAAGGAAAAAAATGATGGGTTCCAAGGCCTTTTTATTTCTTGGCATTTTTTGGCTATTTTTTCAATGATAAGCTATGAGGTTATAGCTAGAGAATTGGCTGAGACTTGTAAGATTACTTTTTCCTTTTACTATTTATTTATTTGAAATATTGGATTTCTTATCTAATTATTTGATATATATTTATGAATTTAATACTTATTTTTAAATTTCACATTTGATATTTGTAGCAATGAGATCGGATAACAAGAATGATGTACACGATGATGGATATAATGACATTGGCGGATATCTAGGTGATGGACGTGGCGAATATAAAAATGGATATAAATTTTCTGGTGGTGGATATTATCCTCCGCATAGTGGATATAAACCCCCATACGGTGATTATAACAACACATATAAACCTTCACATGGTGAATATAACAACAGATATAAATATCGTGGGTGGGGATATAACACTCCACGTGACGGATATAATCCTCCCGGTGGTGAATATAGGCCCCCACATGATAAATATAAGTCCCCACATGGTGAATATAAGAGTGGATATAAACAACATGGTGATGGATATAAATCTCCTGGCGGTGAATATAAACCTCCACATGATGAATATAACAACAGATATAAGCCTCCAATTGTGGCAGATATAAGCCCCCACATAGCGAATACAACCCTCCATGTGACGAACACAATCCCCACATGACAAGTATAAACCCCCGTTTGGTGAATATAACCCTCCAAGTAGTGAATATAGCCCCCCACATGACAAATATAAACTCCCTAATGACAAATACAAATCTGCGGGTGACAAATATAAATTCCTTAACGGTGGATACAACTATCCAGGTGGAGGCAATGAATAAGTGACTAGCCAATTGCCTCACAACCAATCTATCATGTAATATTACAAAATCGTTGAGCATAGTGGCAAGATGTATAATAATAATAGTCTTGCTATTCTAAACCTTGCAATAAAAATGGTATGAATAAAACGTCATTCAGTTCATATGTATGGTTGGTCATGTAATATTTTCTTATACAATATAATACACTATATTGTGATAACATATTTTTATAATGCATGCTTTTTTTTAATATGTTGTACGTTGTTGACGATAAACATATGTTTCTTATTTCATAACTTATTATTAAACTACTCTCCCATCCCTAATTTTATGATGCTTTTCGCTTTTTGAAATCTAAAGTATGTAAACCTTAACCAACTAACTTTTAAAAATATACCTTATTCATCGTTTGACATTAGAAGACTAGTAATTTATAGTACATTGGACGAACGAATATAATTCCCTTCCTCCAACCCCTCCGAATTCAGAATACAATCTACCCTAATAAGATGAAAAGATAAGAAATTATAAGAGCCCCCATGATTTTTTAGATTGTGTTGGAATTGTTGGGAAATGAAATTAAACTGATACTTTGTTGTTCAATGATAATTGTGATGTATCGATCCGACGATGAATTTTTTAAAATTTTATATCGTGATGAAAGAGAAACAAATTGTGTAATGGAAGAAGAGAGAATCGTAAAGTTTGTAAAACAATCTGGGAGAAAGTGAAAGTCAAGGAAATATCATCAACAATCATGATTTCACACGTACGTATTTTATTTTTTTTAATTGTGTTTTGTATGAGTTTTACTGCTATATTTGAAAAAAAGGTAAACTATTGTTATATAGGTGTTATTTTATTTTTTAAATGGTATACTTGTGTTTTTTTTCCCATTTTCCCAACTAAATAAAACTACACTCTGACATATTGTCTCCCGTATTTACACCTTGTTTGGATGGTTGTTACCATTGTATTATATTTTTGGTTTAAATACAATGTTTGTTTCGATGGTTACTTAAATTCTATTGAATTGTATTGTATTGTTTAAACTCATTGTTAGGTAACAAAGAAAAAACCCATTTTATGTAATGATCGATTTGGTGTGATCACATTGTTACCTTACTATTTTCTTCTCATTTGATCTTTATTTATTATCTAACTAGTCATGGACACGTGCGTTGCACGTGTGTCTCATGCTAAATTGTGTGGAGTTGTTATAACGATATATGATGTAATTCTCAAAAGGGAATTACAAAAAAATGCGGAAATCAAAAGACAATAAATTAAAGATAACTAGATAGACACACAAAGAGGAAATCAAAAGCAACCTAAGGGTATATTAAACCCAAAGACCACAGTCGATAAATCCTACAATAGCACCTAACTCTTACGAAGACCTCAAGGGAATCAAATTCACCTTGCAACCCTCGTTTCTAAACAATAGTCAACCAAAAGCTTTACCAAGCTCTCAACACTCATACATGAGTTTTCAATCTTCAATATTCAAAAAATAGTCTAAGTCTATAATGAACCCAAACTAGCTATTTATAGTTTTAGGTAAAAAGGCCCAAAAGTGACTCGAAAATGATAATGGGCAAGCCAAGTCTGGATCACCTAGTGGACTCGGCGACTCGCCCTTCTGCTCGGTGATGGTTCCTGCTCCTAGCCAGGTGAGCTGGGGTCATCGCCGAAGCCCTTGGGTGATCCACCGATTGGCTCTGGCTCGCCAAAAGGGTCAGTACTCCCCCATGCAATCTTCAAGGCATGGAATCTTTTGTTCACCATCAACACCATCTCGAGGACCTCTAATTTTATGAATAATCCTTGTATCTTTTAAAGGTCTCGTGCTTGGCTTCTAGTGAATGGCCTTGATGTGGTCTGGATTGCATCATTCTCTCCTTCTTGAAAATAATTTGTCCTCAAATTCTAGGGGTCATCATACTCAAGAGTTGAAAATGGAGAAAGATCGCAGACATTGAAAGTATTGTGCACTTGATACTCCGAAGGAAGATCAACCTTGTAGGCATTTTCATTGAGCCTTTCAAGAACTTGAAATGAACCATCACCTGTTGGCATTAATTTTGTCTTCCGATGGGTGGGAAATCGGTCCTTGCGAAAGTGCACCCACACCCAATCACCCGGTTCAAGCACAATCCTCTTGCGGCTCTTGTTCACCTTTTTTGCTACTTCTTGGTTCTTCTTTTCTAGGTGAAGCCACACCTTTCAATGTAATTTCGTCATGGCTTCAGCCCTTTTGCTCCCATCTAAGCTTAAGATAACATCTTGAGAAAGAGGGGTGAGATCTAAAGGGGTTAGGGGTTAAAGCCATATACCACTTCAAATGGAGTCATGCCAATAGTTCTATGAATAACACGATTATACGCAAATTTAACTAAAGGCAAATGTTCCTCCCATGAGGCCAACTTTCCATGCACTACGGCACGAAGCATAGAACCCAAAGTCCTATTCACAACTTCAGTTTGGCCATTGATTTGTGGGTGACAAGAAGTTGAGAACAACAATTTGGTACCAAGTCT